AAGACAAGCACAACCTCAGAATCAACTTGTGGTTGATCCCCCTGTGGTACAAGTAGACCCATATTGAGTTGGGGATTGTGCAAATGATTGTCCAGTCATCCCAGCTAGACCTTCACACCCTTAAAAACAGAGAAAGAACAAATTTTGTAGCCGCTTAATTCCGACACTTATTAGAATTAGTGATCAACAAACTATTGGTAAGGACTTGAGTTTACTGAAACAAAAACAATCCATTTAAATAACTAGTTGTGAGATGAGTTTAAAATATAATCATGTGGCCCAAACTTGATTTTGCATGAATTTAGGGGTTATTTAATAGAAAATGGGAAAAATAGCAACTATTTTGTTCAGGAGAAAGCGTTAAATTTAAGGGTTGGCTGTACTTTATTACATAGTGAAAAGACGTGTTCAACTTTTATCTTCCTCACTTAATATACTGCCTGTTTAATGGGGTTTATTGTAAGGCTCAAATGAAACTATATATGAAAACACTCTGAACAGTTTAGTATTCACAAGGATAATACTGACACAGAGTACTCAGAATTCTCTGCTGCCCTTTACCAGACTTCTGTTGATGTCCTAAGTGGAAGCTTCTCATAACCTTAAGTTAATGGGCAGAGCTGCTGGCTGATGACTTCATTCAACATGTGGGCTCAGTCAATCTTTCCATGCACAGACTCTTCCAAGATTGTCCCAGACTGGGTACCAGCCGCTCACAGCTTTTTGAGCAGGTAGCCAGAGATACTGAAGGCTTATCTAGGGAGACCTGTATTGACAGGTGTTTAGTGACTTATTCAGTAGGGATTCAAGTGGAAGTGGCAAAGCCTATCTCTTTCTGGTCTGAAAACTACTTTCACAGTTGCCCATATTCCTTCACAAGTCACAGGGTTGGATGTAAACCACCTTTCTGAGGACTCATACTACTCCAGGAAAACCTAGGCTTCCTTACAAGGTGTTTGTATTCCTGTGTGCCCACGCATGAAGTGGTGCTGTCCCTAAACAGAGTATGGCTTCTCATTGTAACTGTAAAATCTCCCCCTATTTTCATACCTCATGTGTTATCATGGCCCCGTCTCCCAACACAAAGCCAGGAGTGTTCAGCTCTTCCTTGGTGGGAACTAACTCAATGACAAAAGCTGAAGGAAGCTCCCCATGCCCCAAGACCCTCAGCCTGATGGTTTAGACCCCTGCCAAACTTGGGCTTAATGCCCCTGAGCCTGCCAAGAGGAGCCAGACCATGTGGAGATCTTGTCTTCTCTCCTCTGTCACCTGCTCTCAGGGCTGCAGGAGCTCACAGATCATTTCTTCCCAAAGCTCTTCTTCACCTAAAAATGGTATTGAGTTGGGGATTGTGCAAATGATTGTCCAGTCATCCCAGCTAGACCTTCACACCCTTAAAAACAGAGAAAGAACAAATTTTGTAGCCGCTTAATTCCGACACTTATTAGAATTAGTGATCAACAAACTATTGGTAAGGACTTGAGTTTACTGAAACAAAAACAATCCATTTAAATAACTAGTTGTGAGATGAGTTTAAAATATAATCATGTGGCCCAAACTTGATTTTGCATGAATTTAGGGGTTATTTAATAGAAAATGGGAAAAATAGCAACTATTTTGTTCAGGAGAAAGCGTTAAATTTAAGGGTTGGCTGTACTTTATTACATAGTGAAAAGACGTGTTCAACTTTTATCTTCCTCACTTAATATACTGCCTGCTTAATGGGGTTTATTGTAAGGCTCAAATGAAACTATACATGAAAACACTCTGAACAGTTTAGTATTCACAAGGATAATACTGACACAGAGTACTCAGAATTCTCTGCTGCCCTTTACCAGACTTCTGTTGATGTCCTAAGTGGAAGCTTCTCATAACCTTAAGTTAATGGGCAGAACTGCTGGCTGATGACTTCATTCAACATGTGGGCTCAGTCAATCTTTCCATGCACAGACTCTTCCAAGATTGTCCCAGACTGGGTACCAGCCGCTCACAGCTTTTTGAGCAGGTAGCCAGAGATACTGAAGGCTTATCTAGGGAGACCTGTATTGACAGGTGTTTAGTGACTTATTCAGTAGGGATTCAAGTGGAAGTGGCAAAGCCTATCTCTTTCTGGTCTGAAAACTACTTTCACAGTTGCCCATATTCCTTCACAAGTCACAGGGTTGGATGTAAACCACCTTTCTGAGGACTCATACTACTCCAGGAAAACCTAGGCTTTCTTACAAGGTGTTTGTATTCCTGTGTGCCCACGCATGAAGTGGTGCTGTCCCTAAACAGAGTATGGCTTCTCATTGTAACTGTAAAATCTCCCCCTATTTTCATACCTCATGTGTTATCATGGCCCCGTCTCCCAACACAAAGCCAGGAGTGTTCAGCTCTTCCTTGGTGGGAACTAACTCAATGACAAAAGCTGAAGGAAGCTCCCCATGCCCCAAGACCCTCAGCCTGATGGTTTAGACCCCTGCCAAACTTGGGCTTAATGCCCCTGAGCCTGCCAAGAGGAGCCAGACCATGTGGAGATCTTGTCTTCTCTCTTCTGTCACCTGCTCTCAGGGCTGCAGGAGCTCACAGATCGTTTCTTCCCAAAGCTCTTCTTCACCTAAAAATATTATACCTAGGTACTCTTCTAAAGGGAAAATTATTTGGTTGGATCATGTGTATTTCATGGTTAAGGAAAAGTAAATCTTTTCATGCAGCTCCTAGTTCTGACATCTTGACATTAAAAAAAAAATGAAGACAATGGTGACTAGGCTTTGGAAACAAAATAGGTTATCCAAAGCAATTAATACCTAATGGTCAATCAGCATGACAACTGATTGGAGCAGAAAGAGGCTTTAGCACAATAGTGACTTCTGGAACTGACCTGTATCTCTGACCCTCTTTTTAAAAGGGAAATAAAACCTTTGTTTCATTCCCAAGCTTGCTTGTGAGCCTTTCCTTTCTCTACTTCCTGTATGAGAGAGGTGTCACAAGAGAAAGGGTCTCATGGTTTTTTCAAACAAATGGCTGTCTGCTGGTAAGTTTAAACTGAGGGCACAGTGATGGTTCAAGGCAATTGGTAGGGAGGACATTTTCTCCAACCTCACATGGCTGGGGGGCCCTTGAGGCCCTGTGAAAGAGCTTCTTGCCTTGCAGCCCCTCAGACAAATCTGCCCGGAGCATGATTTAGCACATTGCTGTACACTGTCCCCGTGTCTCCTCATTAGCCCCCGATCATCAGAAAGAGTGGCATGCTACTCTTTCAGTACAGGTTGGCCAGCTCTAACATACACAACTCAAGATGCTGACATGCCACCACAAATGGCAATTCCATTCCATGAAACTGTAGCCCACACAGAAACGCTTTAAAATATTGTCTAAAATCACCTTCATGGGTGTGTGCATATCATATGTAAAACATAAATAGGTTTTATGTTTAGGCATGAGGGTCATGGTTCCAGATAGTTAGAGTCCGTGGCCATCATGGTGGGGAGTGTGGCAGCAGGCATGGTGCTGGAGCAGTAGCTGAAAACTTAACATTTATATCTACAGGCAGGAGGTAGACAGGGAGACACTGGGAATGGCATGGACTTCTGAATCCCCAAACCTGCCCCCAGTGACACACTCCCGCCAATAAGGCCATAGCTCTTCATCCTCCCCAAACAGTTCCACCAACTGGGAACCCAGGATTCAAACATATGAACATATGATACCTTTCTCACTCAAACCACAGCAAGGAGTATACAAGAGTTTAATTCAAATGTCAGCTGGGGCTGGGGGCACAGTCCTATAATAATAATTACAATAGAATAAAAATTTAAAGAGGTTTAAGAGATAGCTCAGTGGGCTGGAGAGATGGCTCAGCTGGTAAAGGCTAGGCTCACAACCAAAAATATAAGAGTTCAGTTCCCAGCACCCACGGCTGTCTCTCCAGCCACCATGAGTGAAGAGCAAAGGGGTCCAGACTAGGCTGGTGAAACCCACAGAAACAACTGACCTGAACATCGGGGAACTCTTGCTCCCCAGACTGATAGCTGGGATACCAGCATGGGACTGATCCAGAACCCAGGAACATGGGTTTCTGTGCTGAAACCTCAGAAATCTATGGGACCTCCTGTAGTAGTCAGTGCTTAGCATAGGTGTGGACTTATGGAGCCCATTCCACATAGAGGAATACTCCCTGAGCCAAGACACACGGGGGTGGGCCTAGGCCCTATCCCAAAGGATACAATAGACTCTGATGACACCCGATGGAAGGCCTCACCATCCAGGGGAAGCAGAAAGGATAGATGATAGAGTTTTAGTTGCAGGGGGGGTGGTGGTGGTAGGGGAGGGCAGGGGGGAAGAAGGGAACTGGGATTGTCATGTAAATCAATCCTGTTTCTAATTCAAATTTTTAAAAAGTTAAAAAAATACATAAGAAAATGTACCAAGGTACTTATTTTTCAAATTGTCTACTTATTTCAGCATAAACTAAATAAGCTAATGGTGATTGGACATTCTATTTTTTTAATTAAAAAAACTTTTTTTAAAGTTCTGAAAAAAAAGAGATAGCTCAGTGGTTAGGTTAAATGCCTCACTCACATGCAAGAGGCCCTGGGTGCAATCCCTAGCACTGTGAATGCCAACTTAGGGTTTGTTGCACAGCCATGCACCTCACTTTCTCCTTTTGTCCAGGGGCATGCAGCATTGGCTGAGGTCACACTGACTTTCCTTTCAAAGGCATCGCCTTCCTTCCCAAACTCCATTCCCTTGCTACCTGTTCTCATTGGCAGGGGCACTTACACCACTTATGCATCTGTAGACCAAATATTGACAACAGGGAATCATCCAGTTATCCCTGAAATCAGTGTGATGAGAAGGAAGAACAGGCTCTCCACAGAGTCCTCTGTGGTTTCTCTGTCTGTTTCAAAGTTACAGAACCCCAGCCACTGTATGGGTAGCGTAGCCCACAGAGACACACTCATAGTACTATACTTGCTCCCTAGAATCACAGCTGTGAATGTGGGGACTCCCCTTAGCATTCGGGGACTCTTCCAAATCAAAATGGAGTTATCAGTTAGTGTCCCTGGTGTCGCCCTCTCTCTACTCACTGCTCTCTTGCCTGGGCTCTGCTGGAGTTGAATGGTATGTGTCTGTGTTCCCTTCCACAGCTATTGACCTTCTGTACTGGCGGGACATCAAGCAGACGGGGATTGTGTTCGGGAGCTTCCTGCTGCTGCTCTTCTCCCTGACCCAGTTCAGCGTTGTGAGCGTTGTGGCCTACCTGGCCCTGGCTGCCCTCTCAGCCACCATCAGCTTCCGCATCTACAAGTCTGTTCTACAAGCTGTGCAGAAGACAGATGAGGGTCACCCTTTCAAGTGAGTGTCCCAGGTTGACCAGCCCCCACCCTGCCTCTTTGGACTCTCCCTCTGCCTCATTACCGCTCACAGGTGTTCTGGAACATGTTTCCCTGGAACTCCAGAAACCTTCTGGAGTTTTCCTGAACCCTTGTCCTTAGTACGTGCCTAAGGTTGCTGGTGGGTTTCTGTAACAAACTCATAATAACACTACTGGGTTACAAAAGTAATCACAACCCGTTATCTATGTGTAATGTTTTAAAACTGTTTTTTTAGATTTATTTCACTTTGTGTGTGTAGAATGTTTTGCATGCATGTGTGTGCATCACCTGGAGTGCCTGTTGGGTCCTCTGGAACTTGGGTTATGGGAGGTTGTAGCCAAGATTTGGATTCTGGGAATCAAACCCAGGTTCTCTGAAAGAACAAGTGCTCTTAACCTCTGGGTTATCTCTCTGGTCCCATATTTTTGTTTTTGTTTCTTCATTTAAAGAGAATTTCAACAATTTACTTAATCCAACAACCTCCATGAGGAAGGCAGGGAAGGCAATGACATCCCTGTTTACAGATGGAAATACTGAGATTCTTAGAAGTAAAGTGACACATGCAAGATCAGGTGGCCAGTTAGTACTGTAGAGTGAGGACGGGGTGTTGGGATTTTATTTAAAGGCGCAACCTGCTTTGTGGTGTAAGGTTCATGAGCACTCTCACTGCGTGTCCTTCCCTGCATCTGTATACAGGGAAATTGGGTTAGAATGAATATTAGAGAGGAGAAAAGTTTTAGCTTCATCTGATTAAAATATTCCATTTTTATTTGTGTATGCATGTGTGTGTGCATATATTATACACACACACACACACACACACACACACACATTGCAGGTGCCCAAAGAGGCCAGAGGCATGGATTTCATGGAGCTGGCATTACAGATGGTTATGGGTGCTGGGAACTGCACTCTGATTCCGCAGAAAGAGCAGTAAAGCACTCTGAACTGTTGAGCCATCTCTTCAGCCTCCCCCACCCTTGTTAGAGCAATGAATTGTGTAGATATACAGAGAAAGTGATAACCCAGCCAGTGACATCCAAGCAGCTCCATCAGAGTAAACTGCTCCATCTCAACCTCAGATGATGAGCCTGGTTGCCTACAGAATTCAGTGTGCGTATCACACACACCTTCTAACCATCCCCTGGCTCTACTGAGTGTGTCCTCATTTTGTGTAATTGAGGGATAGTGCTGGACGAGACAGGAAGATACTGCAGCGTGGCTCTGGGCCAGTCTCCAGAGTTCACCAGTGCCACCTTGGCATGTACTTACTGTGCCTCACCTGTTGGCTGGATCAAAACCTCAGTTGCAGCAGAGCCTCAGCAAAGAAAATAATACCCAGTTTGGGGGCTGGAGGACTGAAGGAACTTCCTTCTTAGCACCTTGGTCCCGACCTCAGTGCAAACACATGGTGATATGCACATGCATGGTACTTCGAAGCTTTCTAATGCAGAATTATTGGGCCATTCTGGCTGCAACTCTCTTTTACATGTTCCCATACCCACAGGCAAGAGAGTGGAGAAGTGGCTTGGCTTTGTTTCTAGCAGGACATACGAGACCCAGATCTCAGTGGCACTGGCATGTGGCCAAAGTCCTCATCTTTATCCTTCTCCTCGGCCCTAGCCTCTATCCTTAGCTATCCAAGATTCTTCCATATCCATTGTTTAGAACTTGATTGTTTCCAGAGCTGCCATGCCCACCCCCAAGGCTGAAATATGGGGCACTTAGGTCCCATTTGGCTTCTTATTTTTTCTTCTGATACCTAGCTCTGAACTGTTGAGCCATCTCTTCAGCCTCCCCCACCCTTGTTAGAGCAGTCTATGAACTGTGTAGATATACAGAGAAAGTGATAGCCCAGCCAGTGACATCCAAGCAACTCCATCAGAGTAAACTGCTCCATCCCAACCTCAGATGATGAGCCTGGTTGCCTACAGAATTCAGTGTGTGTGTCACACACACCTTCCAACCGGCCCCGGGCTCTACTGAGTGTGTCCTCATTTTGTGTAATTGAGGGACAGTGCTGGACGAGACAGGAAGATGATGATACTGCAGCGTAGCTCTGGGCCAGTCTCCAAAGTTCACCAGTGCCACCTCAGCATGTACTTACTGTGCCTCACCTGTTGGCTGGATCAAAACCTCAGTTGCAGCAGAGCCTCAGCAAAGAAAATAATACCCAGTTTGGGGGCTGGAGGACTGAAGGAACTTCCTTCTTAGCACCTTGGTCCCGACCTCAGTGCAAACACATGGTGATATGCACATGCATGGTACTTCGAAGCTTTCTAATGCAGAATTATTGGGCCATTCTGGCTGCAACTCTCTTTTACATGTTCCCATACCCACAGGCAAGAGAGTGGAGAAGTGGCTTGGCTTTGTTTCTAGCAGGACATACGAGACCCAGATCTCAGTGGCACTGGCATGTGGCCAAAGTCCTCATCTTTATCCTTCTCCTCGGCCCTAGCCTCTATCCTTAGCTATCCAAGATTCTTCCATATCCATTGTTTAGAACTTGATTGTTTCCAGAGCTGCCATGCCCACCCCAAGGCTGAAATATGGGGCACTTAGGTCCCATTTGGCTTCTTGTTTTTTCTTCTGATACCTAATTATAGGAACAATAGTGTAAAACTACTCATCCTTTAGGACACAAATTTAAAGTTTAAATCACCTTCAGTCTAGTAACTTATATCAGCAAAGGGAACACCTGACTTAGTGTATTTTTAAACACAGGACACTATCTGGACAAATCAGTATTTTTGTATTTTCTCTAAGGGAAGAAAAGCCATAACATTTAAATATAAATTCCCAAAGTCAGTTTAGGTTTCTATAACCATGCACCATAAACTCAAAATAAATGAGAAAAAATGCATTTCTCCCAGTTGTGTAAAATCTGTAATCAAAGTGCCCTGTGGTTGAATTTTAGTCTGGTATCTTTTTGTTAGATCCTTACAAGGCATCAAGAGGATGAAAGAGTTCTTTGTTTTAAAGGCACCAGTCTCATTCATAAGGGTTCTGCCCTCTTGAATAATCACCCCCAAAGTACCTGGCTGATAATACCAGCATTAAGAGTGGGGATTTCAACATGGCGCTCTAGAGGAGTACAGCATTTAGTCTGTAACACTCCTGACAACTCGAGACAAAGCGTGCTTGACTCTCCATCTCTGTTCATCTCATGCAATTAAGAACCCCAAGCTAGTCAGGAAGTCCACAGCTGCCTTCAGATGGGGGGAGGGGGAGATCGGGCAGGTTCAGTGGAGGAGTGTGGCCAAGCAGAAAAAGCTTATGTATATTATAAAATATATTCTACATTTTATTTTGTTTACCATCCATGAGTTAAATCTAACTTCCTCAAAAAATGAGGGGAAAAAAATCACATTATTAAGAACACCATTCACTAGGACCAGTGAGTTTAATATGGTCCAGGCCACTGAAGCTACCATTGCTCTCTAGAGAAACCTGCAAGTCAGTTCTGGAGTTAAAACAGGAATTCTTAAGAGTTTGTCAAGGAACAATTTGGCAGCTAGGGTTTTCAGATTGCTCCAGAATCTAAGAAACACAAGCATCCCTTTGTCGTCATGGATGGAGAAATCAGTAAAGGAGTTGACTGCTTTTATCGGTCTTTCTTGGTCCTTCCTGGTTTCTGTGAGTTAAGAGCTCACTCTTTAATGCTGTGTTTTGTGTATAGAGTCACAAGTCCCCCCAGGCAGTCAGAACTCCTGCACTCCCTGTGTTTGGTAAGTGAGTGTGTACGGTGTCCCACAGCCAACACCCTTGTGGAGGTGACCCAGCCACAAGCCTCCCAGTGTGACAAGCACTTACGTGGCCTGTTATGCAGCAGCCTGTGTTCAACCCTCTAATGGCATTCCCCTGGGATGGTTTGTTGATAGGGCCTACCTGGAGCTGGAGATCACCCTGTCCCAGGAGCAGATCCAGAAGTACACTGACTGCCTGCAGCTGTATGTGAACAGCACACTCAAAGAGCTACGGAGGCTTTTCCTCGTCCAGGACCTGGTGGATTCCTTGAAAGTATGACTGCTTCTGCTTCTTGCCTTACAGTCTTAGATGTTCTCCCAAAAGGAAGAATACAACAGGCAGCTATAATTCAGAGGCTACAAAGCAATCACTAATTAATCTAGAATCTGAGAGCCTCCAATTGTGTCCAAGCTAGTCCCCTCATTTCACAGATGACAAAACTGTGACTTGGAGATATTTAGGTGCTTATCGGGGTTGCACCATTTGGAAGAATTAGGATCAGTCCCAGGTCACACAGTTCTAGACATTTTACATGGAAGGACATAGATTCTTAAACCACGACCTCAGCCCATCTCCCTATTAACCATTTTAGAGGTGTGAAGAACATGTGTTTTCTGGAGGATGTTAGGATGCTGGTCGTAAGTCTTCAGGAACTCCTCAGGTTGAGCATCTGAAGGGAAAACCTATTCCCAGCCAGAGCATGGGAGGATCTGGGACACACAGACACACAGACATACAGACACACAGACACACACACAGACACACAGACACACAGACACACACACACACACACACACACACACACACACACACACACACACACACACACACGAGGGTGAAGGGGGGGCTTTATTCCAGGCAGTCTCACTCCATGTAGAGCAGTGATTCTCAACTTCCTAAGTCTGCAACCCTTTAATACAGTTCCTCAGACTGTAGTGACCCCAACCATAAAATTATTTTTGTTTCTACTTCATAACTGTAATTTCACTACTGTTATGAATTATAAACATCCTTGTTTTCCAATGGTCTTTTGAGGGTCACAACCCATAGGTTGAGAACCACTGATATAGTGGGTTTCTTTGAACAGGCTGCTTGGACTGCCCTGTGACTTCCTGATAAAACCCAAATCATTGAAACAAGACTGAGCAAGCCCACCAGCAGAGTGGGGATCAGGAGGGGAGGTGGTCGTGAGTGTTCTACCCTTAATGGGTGCTTTTGCACATTGTGTCTGAGGTCTTGTGCCAGGGGTTGCCTAGTCGTTGTTCAGTGAGTTGGGGAGCAATGGGAGACAAGGGCCTGGCCGACATCCCTGGAGCAGGAGCTGGCTGTTAAAATCTTTTCCATTTAAAATTCCACTTTTAAAAAAAAAAAAAAAAAAAAAAAAAAAAAAAAACAACCAAAACCCTTCTTAATCCCTGGGCCCTTATAAATACAGGCCAAGAGCTACAGCATGCCAAATGCTTGGCTTAGCCTATGATTTCATTGGGTCCCTGGAATCTTGTGACAGCATGATCCAAGGTCCAAGGGACAAGGATAGTGAGCTTTGGACACCTTACTATACTTTCATGTCCTGTCAAAATAGTTTCCCAGGAATCCACTTCCTGTTGCCTCTCATTCTAGTCTTTGGGAGGGGGATTGAAATGCTAACTAAACTGTTAAGATCCTAACTCAGGAAAGATGGGTTTCATCTGGGAGGGATGGTGGTGGGCTCTCTGACCATCCTTTCGTTATCAAGTTTGCAGTCCTCATGTGGCTCCTGACCTACGTCGGCGCGCTCTTCAATGGCCTGACCCTGCTGCTTATGGGTGAGTGCTTCCCGTGCCCACACACTGCAGACATGGTGCTTCTGTACAGGACTGTCGGCTTTCAGCTCCCTGGTGGATGGCTAAGAATGAACATTAAATACCCCCCCAATGAAGAGTATCTCCCTTTGAACTGTACTTCATTTAACAATGGATTTTTGTTGTTTTGTTTTTTAAAACAGGGTTTCTCTGTGTAGCCCTGGCTGTTCTGGAACTCACTCTGTAGACCAGGCTGGCCTCAAACTCAGAGATTCTTCTGCCTCTGCCCCCCGAATGCTGGGATTAAAAGCATATGCCACTATCATCGGGCTAATAATGCTTTTTTTTCCCCAGCCACATCACTAAATTGCCTTCTAGTATATATACATCTACAGTGGCAACTACAGGTGATCAATTGTCATCTTGAAAGGGCACATTGCACGCTCATTCTTGGACTAATGATATGTCTACAGAGGACTCTGCCTTCTTTTGTTTTTCCTAAGCAGAGCCCTGTCATCTTTTATCTATGCTGCTATTTCCCCCCACCCCAAATAATGCTAGCCTCATGACTATGAAAAAGGTGTTTATAGCTTGTTCCTGTTGGTAGTTCTCAGAGTTCTAATGGTGTATATGTATTTTTTTTTGCCCTAGCTGTGGTTTCGATGTTTACTCTACCTGTGGTGTATGTTAAACACCAGGTGAGTTTTATGTGGGGTCAGACATTCATGGGAAATTTTGACCTCATGGTGTTTGCATGTGCTCATGATTTCTTCTCTTCGTAGGCACAGATTGACCAATATCTGGGACTTGTGAGGACTCACATAAACACTGTCGTGGCAAAGTAAGTTCCATAGTGGAGTTCACTAAAAGGAGTCATGGTCTGAAGCAGGCATGGGAGTGGATTCGTTAGATGTAATTTAAAGGAAGCAAAATAATGGGTTGTTATAGTTTACTCCTTTGAGTCAGACATTCATCCTCATCTCAATTATATTATTTCAAAAATAAGTATAATTTTCAAACCCTAGATTAACTAAAACTGTCAGCGGTTTATTTCAGGTACCATAACGAATATATTTTTAACAAGTTAGTAATATTAAACTCTCCCCACGGGCTGGCCCATGTTCAAGAACAAGATGGAGAGGAGAAGGAAGTCTGATTCAGAAAATGCTACATGAACAGTCACACTGAAAACACTTAATGAATACTTTCAGTTTTTTGAACAGTGAATACTACTAATTTTAAACCAGTAAAAAGTATTTTTAGACCCTTAGAATGCCTGAATAATTTGTTACCTAAATATTTTTATATACTCTTTTAACACCACAAGTTTGTATTTGGGTCATACCACTGCTTTTTTAGCCTTTGGCTTCTAGCAGATCCTACTCTACAGAGCTGCCTATAAGACATTTAGAGATAAAGATATCAGGCTTATGTGTCCACAGCTAACATGATTAGTTGGCTTAGTGATTTCCCTAGTTTTCACCTTGCGTTTTTATGTTTGTTGCCACCTATAGTGATAATCGTGTTCCATTGATAGGATTTTTTTTTTTAAGTAAAAGTTGGTCTATCCTTCAGCTACAGATTTATGTCATGAAAGGAAAAGACTTTATCCATATCAACTCCATTTAGTAATCAAATAATTACGTGGCTGAATCTAGGTGACGGTTAGTCTCACACAGTTCAGATGGTCAGGCTTAGGCTGTATGGTAATGAAACCATAAGTAAGGACAGTCACTTCTCTGTTCTGCCCTGCATCTCCGGCCAGCAGCTGCTGTTTTCTCTTGATGCATAGGACAGTTTGACTTCCTCTGTGCTCTGTTACACTCTTGCCCTTGAGGTCATGCAGAGCTCTGTCGGGTTCCATGCTTAGTTTGAATATGTAACAGTTCTCAGCACATTTCATGATTCCTGACATCACCTGGAACCCACATGTAGCCATCTTAATGAAAAATCAACAGATGAAGAATGAAACAGTCATTGCTTTATGTGAAGAAATGACAGAATGGTACAGTATGGAAAGTGGTGGCACTTCAGCCTAGAATCAGTTCAAAGGCAGAGACTCAGAAACATATAGCATTAAAATTTCTGGGCTTGATAACCTATAATTTACATTTCAATGAAGTCCCTAGGCAACACTTGGAAATCTAGAACTGTGTTTAAGAACTATAGCACCAGAAAAGCAGAGTGGGAATTTGGAAACTGGAACTAGAAGTTTTGAGCCAAAATTACCCACTGTTCAGTTAAGGGACCTGGAGGAAATCACATC